ATCAGTGAACCTGTCTAATTATGTGTTTTATCTATTTAATTTACACTGTTATGGGAGTTGCCACATATTTTCATTGAGAGTAAAGATTGATTGATTGATTAAATGTTAACTGGTCTATCTTAATGTTTCTCTTTCTACTCTGTAGGTGTCAGTGTGGTGACAGACATAAAGGATAAAGTGATTATAGCAAATGGATGGATGGTTTTTTAAGAGTGATTTTAAAAAATGCCTCAGGAACGGGTGATTAAATATTGCAGATGTGACACCACAGCCCAAACTTCACTTCTCTATTCGGGATGTGAACAATCATAACTTTTTCTACTTTCCTTTATATTCTGAAAGACAGAATGTACTGTAATAAGTCCAGTCAGCCAATGCTGAATGGGTGTACTCGAGTACTTGGCATTGAAACCGTACAGTTTGGCTAACCCCTCTTTAGTTTCACAGAAAGACAAACCTGAGAACAAGCTGACCCTTTTGACATTGGCTGGTCACAAGCTGCGTCGCTGCCTCCTTTAACCGCAGACATGATACAAGCTGACTGAAAGGCTGACCTCAGTGAGTGACCTCGTGGCCAGTCCAGGCTCTGTGCAGTCAGTGGGTGTACGGTCTCACCACCTGGCCTGGCATGTCGCTTTGTTAATGGAGCTGTTGTTGTCTGTGCTCGGACAAAAGGCAAGCATTAAGTGAAATGGATGTTCTCTTATTGTGAGTAAGAGGAGCACTTTCACACACGGTGACCCTATGACCCAGGAAACTGTAATTCACACTAATGGAGAAAGTGGCCAGGATGCTGCTGCTGCACAGTGGTCTCAGAGACTGCTAGCATGGGACAGCTGAGAATGATGGAAATGAAGGGGTTGTGAAGGATGAGGGACAGAGAACATAGAGGGTAATATAAGGAGAGAAATGACTAGAGTAAAATTAAGAGAGAGGACAGAGGAGGGAAGGCACAACAGAAAGGGGCAGAGGTAGGATGACAGGAAAGTGCAAAGCCATAAATGACCAGCTGTTCTAAAGAGGACAAAATAAAGTGAGAAGAAGAGGTGTTAAGGTGGTAATGGCTTTGAGTAATACTGTACACAGAGATGTGTGTGTTGTCAAGAACAGATTTAGAAGCACAGGTTTTAGTGACTTTATCAATACAGTGTAATTTCTGCATCTCAGAAATGACTCATGAAAAATATTCTGGATATTTGTATAATAGCAATGTATGTAATGTTAAAATAATGTGACAATGATGAACCTATAGAGAATTACAACCTGAATCTGCAGCTCCCCTCAGCTCTGTGGTGCTTTATAATGACTCTCAGCTTATTGTTCAGCTGTGCAGCCCACAGCCAACTGTTCTGGTTCGCTCTCACCGCTCTCATAGCGTCAGAGCAGCGCTGTTCTCAGTACAAACCCACTGTACACAACCTGGTCACTGCATCAAACTGTAGAGAGACAGTTAGCACTAACTGGTGAAAATAGTGGAATATCTGTAACATATTTCTGGTATTTTGGAGCTGAAAGAGACCAAAGAGCCAAAATGGAGTGATTACGTGACTATATCAGGTGGACAGCAACAAGACTCCAGATGAATGATCATATGCCAGGAAGGCAGAAAGGAACTGGGGACGATGCAGGCAGGCAGAGTGAGAGGTAATGGAGCCGGCCAGGCAGGTTCGAGGAACACAGGGAAGTAGAGGACACAAGACTGAAGGGGACTCGTACAGTGAGATGGCAGTCGAGGAGCAGGTCAGCTGAGTGCAGAGGGTACAGGCGAGGTGCTGTTATCAGAACGACAGATCTTCAGGAGCAAAATGTTACTTGGATTGTTTGGACGTGGTGAGAACAACAAAGCAAATTAGAAGGGCCACAATGAGCAGGGACCAGCGAGTGACTGAGGGAAAAGAGGTAGTATATATTGAAAACTGGGGGATGATAGGCAACAGATGAAAACACTGAACACTGATAGGAACTGTGGTAAAGCTGGGGCAAGAGAGATGGAGCGGAACAGGAAGAAAAACCAAAATAAAAGCACAAAAACAAGTAGCAAGTCCAAATCATGACATGTAGCTAACAAGTTTGCCATATCAATATTTCAATATTGAGACTATAACTTCTTTCTACTGCCTCCAAATGGCAAAAATCTTGTTTAGGCTTAAGATCAGAGTAGCAGATTTTGGCCTCTCTTTTCCCACGTCTCCTCTTTCAAAGTCAGTGCACAGTTTTTCTCAGGGGCATCTCTACTTCTGTTTTTTTTTTTGTTTTTTTTTTTTGCTCATTGGTGTATTTGGTATTTTCCTGCCATGAATGAATGTGTTTACCCTGAGGTGGGAGGACAGGCGCAGCTGAGGCCGTGTGTGTGCTGATTAGGCAGCACAGTGCAGTTTTGGTGCTGGTTTTGACCTGAAATAGTGATAATGTTAACACCTGCTCAGACCAGCTCTTATCACTGTCTCAGGTGCATTCGC